TTTTGTTGACAAATAAGTGCGTAATGCGGTTTTTTTTTAAATTTATTTTAAGCTTTTTAAAGCTACCGCTTAAATTTTAATGAATTCTGGTCCAGAATCGTTTGTAGTTGATTATAGTCTTAAAATCTTTTTTTTTTTTTGTTGACAAATAAGTGCGTAATGCGGTTTTTTTTTAAATTTATTTTAAGCTTTTTAAAGCTACCGCTTAAATTTTAATGAATTCTGGTCCAGAATCGTTTGTAGTTGATTATAGTCTTAAAATCTTTTTTTTTTTTTGTTGACAAATAAGTGCGTAATGCGGTTTTTTTTTAAATTTATTTTAAGCTTTTTAAAGCTACCGCTTAAATTTTAATGAATTCTGGTCCAGAATCGTTTGTAGTTGATTATAGTCTTAAAATCTTTTTTTTTTTTTGTTGACAAATAAGTGCGTAATGCGGTTTTTTTTTAAATTTATTTTAAGCTTTTTAAAGCTACCGCTTAAATTTTAATGAATTCTGGTCCAGAATCGTTTGTAGTTGATTATAGTCTTAAAATCTTTTTTTTTTTTTGTTGACAAATAAGTGCGTAATGCGGTTTTTTTTTAAATTTATTTTAAGCTTTTTAAAGCTACCGCTTAAATTTTAATGAATTCTGGTCCAGAATCGTTTGTAGTTGATTATAGTCTTAAAATCTTTTTTTTTTTTTGTTGACAAATAAGTGCGTAATGCGGTTTTTTTTTAAATTTATTTTAAGCTTTTTAAAGCTACCGCTTAAATTTTAATGAATTCTGGTCCAGAATCGTTTGTAGTTGATTATAGTCTTAAAATCTTTTTTTTTTTTTGTTGACAAATAAGTGCGTAATGCGGTTTTTTTTTAAATTTATTTTAAGCTTTTTAAAGCTACCGCTTAAATTTTAATGAATTCTGGTCCAGAATCGTTTGTAGTTGATTATAGTCTTAAAATCTTTTTTTTTTTTTGTTGACAAATAAGTGCGTAATGCGGTTTTTTTTTAAATTTATTTTAAGCTTTTTAAAGCTACCGCTTAAATTTTAATGAATTCTGGTCCAGAATCGTTTGTAGTTGATTATAGTCTTAAAATCTTTTTTTTTTTTTGTTGACAAATAAGTGCGTAATGCGGTTTTTTTTTAAATTTATTTTAAGCTTTTTAAAGCTACCGCTTAAATTTTAATGAATTCTGGTCCAGAATCGTTTGTAGTTGATTATAGTCTTAAAATCTTTTTTTTTTTTTGTTGACAAATAAGTGCGTAATGCGGTTTTTTTTTAAATTTATTTTAAGCTTTTTAAAGCTACCGCTTAAATTTTAATGAATTCTGGTCCAGAATCGTTTGTAGTTGATTATAGTCTTAAAATCTTTTTTTTTTTTTGTTGACAAATAAGTGCGTAATGCGGTTTTTTTTTAAATTTATTTTAAGCTTTTTAAAGCTACCGCTTAAATTTTAATGAATTCTGGTCCAGAATCGTTTGTAGTTGATTATAGTCTTAAAATCTTTTTTTTTTTTTGTTGACAAATAAGTGCGTAATGCGGTTTTTTTTTAAATTTATTTTAAGCTTTTTAAAGCTACCGCTTAAATTTTAATGAATTCTGGTCCAGAATCGTTTGTAGTTGATTATAGTCTTAAAATCTTTTTTTTTTTTTGTTGACAAATAAGTGCGTAATGCGGTTTTTTTTTAAATTTATTTTAAGCTTTTTAAAGCTACCGCTTAAATTTTAATGAATTCTGGTCCAGAATCGTTTGTAGTTGATTATAGTCTTAAAATCTTTTTTTTTTTTTGTTGACAAATAAGTGCGTAATGCGGTTTTTTTTTAAATTTATTTTAAGCTTTTTAAAGCTACCGCTTAAATTTTAATGAATTCTGGTCCAGAATCGTTTGTAGTTGATTATAGTCTTAAAATCTTTTTTTTTTTTTGTTGACAAATAAGTGCGTAATGCGGTTTTTTTTTAAATTTATTTTAAGCTTTTTAAAGCTACCGCTTAAATTTTAATGAATTCTGGTCCAGAATCGTTTGTAGTTGATTATAGTCTTAAAATCTTTTTTTTTTTTTGTTGACAAATAAGTGCGTAATGCGGTTTTTTTTTAAATTTATTTTAAGCTTTTTAAAGCTACCGCTTAAATTTTAATGAATTCTGGTCCAGAATCGTTTGTAGTTGATTATAGTCTTAAAATCTTTTTTTTTTTTTGTTGACAAATAAGTGCGTAATGCGGTTTTTTTTTAAATTTATTTTAAGCTTTTTAAAGCTACCGCTTAAATTTTAATGAATTCTGGTCCAGAATCGTTTGTAGTTGATTATAGTCTTAAAATCTTTTTTTTTTTTTGTTGACAAATAAGTGCGTAATGCGGTTTTTTTTTAAATTTATTTTAAGCTTTTTAAAGCTACCGCTTAAATTTTAATGAATTCTGGTCCAGAATCGTTTGTAGTTGATTATAGTCTTAAAATCTTTTTTTTTTTTTGTTGACAAATAAGTGCGTAATGCGGTTTTTTTTTAAATTTATTTTAAGCTTTTTAAAGCTACCGCTTAAATTTTAATGAATTCTGGTCCAGAATCGTTTGTAGTTGATTATAGTCTTAAAATCTTTTTTTTTTTTTGTTGACAAATAAGTGCGTAATGCGGTTTTTTTTTAAATTTATTTTAAGCTTTTTAAAGCTACCGCTTAAATTTTAATGAATTCTGGTCCAGAATCGTTTGTAGTTGATTATAGTCTTAAAATCTTTTTTTTTTTTTGTTGACAAATAAGTGCGTAATGCGGTTTTTTTTTAAATTTATTTTAAGCTTTTTAAAGCTACCGCTTAAATTTTAATGAATTCTGGTCCAGAATCGTTTGTAGTTGATTATAGTCTTAAAATCTTTTTTTTTTTTTGTTGACAAATAAGTGCGTAATGCGGTTTTTTTTTAAATTTATTTTAAGCTTTTTAAAGCTACCGCTTAAATTTTAATGAATTCTGGTCCAGAATCGTTTGTAGTTGATTATAGTCTTAAAATCTTTTTTTTTTTTTGTTGACAAATAAGTGCGTAATGCGGTTTTTTTTTAAATTTATTTTAAGCTTTTTAAAGCTACCGCTTAAATTTTAATGAATTCTGGTCCAGAATCGTTTGTAGTTGATTATAGTCTTAAAATCTTTTTTTTTTTTTGTTGACAAATAAGTGCGTAATGCGGTTTTTTTTTAAATTTATTTTAAGCTTTTTAAAGCTACCGCTTAAATTTTAATGAATTCTGGTCCAGAATCGTTTGTAGTTGATTATAGTCTTAAAATCTTTTTTTTTTTTTGTTGACAAATAAGTGCGTAATGCGTTTTTTTTATAAATTTATTTTAAGCTTTTTAAAGCTACCGCTTAAATTTTAATGAATTCTGGTTCAGAATCGTTTGTAGTTGATTATAGTCTTAAAATCTTTTTTTTTTTTTTTGTTGAAAAATAAGTGCGTAGCGCGTTTTTTTTTTAAATTATATGAAGCTTTTTACAGCTACTGCCTAAATTTTAATGAATTCTGGTCCAGAATCGTTTGTAGTTGATTGTAGTTTAAAAAAAAAATTTTTTAGTTGAAAAATAAGTGCGTAATGCGTTTTTTAAAAAATTCATATGAAGCTTTTTACAGCTACAGCTTCAATTTTAATGAATTCAGGTACAGAATCGTTTGTAGTTGATTTTAGTTTTAAAATTTATTTTTTTTAGTTGAAAAATAAGTGCGTAGCGCTTTTTTTTAATTTATATGAAGGGTTTTATAGCTATCGCCTAAATTTTAATGAATTCTGGTCCAAAATCGTTTGTAGTTGATTGTAGTTTTAAATTTTTTTTTTTGTTGAAAAGTAGGTGCGTTATGCATTTTTTTTAATTTATATGAAGCTTTTAACAGCTACAGCTTCAATTTTATTGAATTCTGGTACAGAATCGTTTGTAGTTGATTGTAGTTTTAAAATTTTATTTTAGTTGAAAAGTAAGTGCGTAGCGCGTTTTTTTTTATTTATATGAAGCTTTTTATAGCTACCGCCTAAATTTTAGTGACTTCTGGTCCAGAATCGTTTGTAGTTGATTGTAGTTTTAATTTTTTTTTTTGCTGAAAAATAACTGCGTAATGCGTTTTTTTATAAATTTATTTTAAGCTTTTTACAGCTACCGCTTAAATTTTAATGAATTCAGGCCCAGAATCGTTTGTAACTGATTGTAGTTTAAAGTTTTTTTTAGTTGAAAAATAAGTGCGTAATGCGTTTTTTTTTTAATTCATATGAAGCTTTTTACAGCTACAGCTTCAATTTTAATGAATTCAGGTCCAGAATCGTTTGTAGTTGGTTTTAGTTTTAAAATTTATTTTTTTTTAGTTGAAAAATAAGTGCGTAGCGTGATTTTTTTTTAAATTTATATGAAGCTTTTTACAGCTACCGCCTAAATTTTAATGAATTCTGGTCCAGAATCGTTTGTAGTTGATTGTAGTTTTAAAACTTTTTTTTAGTTGGAAAATAGGTGCGTAATGCGTGTTTTTTTAATTTATATGAAGCTTTTAACAGCTACAGCTTCAATTTTAATGAATTCTGGTCCAGAATCGTTTGTAGTTGATTGTAGTTTTAAAACTTTTTTTTAGTTGGAAAATAGGTGCGTAATGCGTGTTTTTTTAATTTATATGAAGCTTTTAACAGCTACAGCTTCAATTTTAATGAATTCTGGTCCAGAATCGTTTGTAGTTGATTGTAGTTTTAAAACTTTTTTTTAGTTGGAAAATAGGTGCGTAATGCGTGTTTTTTTAATTTATATGAAGCTTTTAACAGCTACAGCTTCAATTTTAATGAAATCTGGTCCAGAATCGTTTGTAGTTGATTGTAGTTTTAAAACTTTTTTTTAGTTGGAAAATAGGTGCGTAATGCGTGTTTTTTTAATTTATATGAAGCTTTTAACAGCTACAGCTTCAATTTTAATGAATTCTGGTCCAGAATCGTTTGTAGTTGATTGTCGTTTTAAAATTTATTTTTTTAGTTGAAAAATAAGTGCGTAGCGCGTTTTTTTTTTTAAATTTATATAAAGCTTTTTACAGCTACCGCCTAAATTTTATTGAATTCAGGTTATTTACGCAGGTGGCGTCGCACGAAGATGGAGCGCACCAGTGTAAAGTTAATGTAACGAAAATAAGAGTAAATTAAAGACACAGTGGTTTTAGTGCAATGAAATTAAAAGTCGTTTTATTTGTAAATATCTATGAGTTTGAATAGTGTGGCACACAAGAGTTGGCTTACCGAACGTGGTGTGATGGCTGACGTGATCTCCTTGCTGTCTTCTAAGAGGTGACAAATTGCTAGCAAAACGAAAAGGGATGTAGCCCACCGCACTGTAACTTTCGTTAAGTTTCCCTTCAACTAAGTTACCGTACAGTGGGGCTCATTGTTAGCGGCTGGAAAGTTAGCCGAAACTTATACATGTGTTTGTGTGCTCTTACATGAAGTGACAAAACGCGTATTAGGGTGGCGCAATATATTTAAGTCGAGGACCTAAACATACCGGCACCCTTGCGGTAAGCAAGCTGTGAAAAAAAGGAGTCGCGTCTCAACCGTCACACGCACGTGGGGAAAGTCTTATGTTATTCAACTATGTAGCGCGGATTTTGTACTGCGCGGATCTGCTTATTCGCCCACGCTTTCGTCGCGACCGGCTCAGCTGGGGCTGTGGAGAAAAGGACATCGTTAATTGAAACAGACGTGGTTTGGAATTTCAATGCACTTTTTTATTTAGATTTTAAGGTGTGTGTGTGTGATGAGGGTGTGTATATGTGTGGTTTTGTTTTCTTAATATCTACGTTTATGGTTGGCGGTTATGGTCGCCTGGACCAGCAGGCCACCCACGGTAGACGGGGGGGTCCCGCTCACCATCATCTCCGCATACAAATCGAGGCCTAGTGTGAGGCGTATTGGTGACGCGCGAAAGAATTGCGGATCCGCCAATCGCATGTACTGGAAGGGGGCCGCAACCTTAGGGTCCAGGTTCGACGGTGGACTCAGGCGTATATGGTGGTCCAGCACGACTGCTTGTGTCGTAATGCGGTCGGAGCTGCCGTATTTTCNCGTATCTTCCCCGCTATGCACTAGGCGGCCCGTTCGGAAGCCGATCGGTGGAGCGCGTTGTAAGGCATGACAATTAATGTTGCTGTCGTTTGTGCGAGTTTTGTGGTATGGTGCTGCTTTGCGTAGCCTAGACGATCGCTTAGACGAGCGGAAAGTACGAGTTTCCGCGCCGTCGCGTCGTTTTGGCTTGCGTTGCGATCGTGATGCCGGGCGGAAAGGACTGGTTTCCGCGCCGCCGTGTTGCCGCCAGTTGTGTTGTTGACGCGTTTGCGAGTGGAAAGGACGAGTTTCCGCGTCGCGTCGGTTGTATTGCTGACGCGTTTGCGAGCGGAAAGGACGAGTTTCCGCGTCGCGCCAGTTGTGTTGTGTACGCGTTGGCGAGCGGAAAGAACGAGATTCCGCGTCGCCCGCGCGTAGTGGTAACTGGTCTAACGGTCTCGGTGTGCCAGTTCCAGAGTTGCGCTTTTGTCGCTCATGTGTGGAAGAGTCTGTCCTCTCTAACCCCTCCAACTCCTCCTCTTCGACCTGCTGCGCCCACGACTTCGTCTGCTCCGTAACGTCGATAGAGAGTGCCCCGTCCGAGCTCTCGCCGTCGTTGATCGCGTTCGCTGGGTGCCTTTGGTCTTCGCAGTCATCGAGATGGAGCGAGGTGTGATGCTTTTCGCGACATCGGTGGCATCGATCCGTGCTGCTGCACATGTCGAGGCGGTGGAACGGCGAGAGGCAGTTTGGGCAATATTTATGCAGCAGGACTGCACGCAGCCTTGCTTCGACCGCTTTGCCACGGTAAAGGGGGCATAGTCGAATGCTATGCGCTCCGCCGCATAACCGGCATAGAACCGTAAATTTATCAGCGCGTTCTTCCGCATGTGCGCGATTGGCCGAGAAACGAGTCATTCTGTAAATGAGTCTCGTAGTTATGTCCGTAGGTGTAAAAAGTTACGTACTATTAGTTTTGGGTTGGGTGGCAAGTGGCGAATATATGTATGCCTGTATGTCTCGTGAAAGCACATTTTATATATACGTGTGATATACTTATGTACATATATATATATATATATATANGCCAATTCAGACTTTCAGTCTCCGCGTACTTGTGCGGTGTTAAGTATAGACCAATGGTCTTACTCCTAAAAAGTAATCAGACTTACAGAGCTCTACAAAGTGGCATTTTTATAAAAAAGTTTCAATTTCAAAAGCGGTTAAAGCCTTCTTTATTTTCTATGACTTTGAGCGTAAGGTTTCGTGTTTGGGTATAAAGGAGATCTGTGGAAGGTGACCATCGTTATAAGATTTTATCCCATTACGTTTGTTGCCATTTGCTTTTGCATCGAACAGACCTTTATGTAGTACAAATTTTTCGATCACTATTTCCCCGAACACACCGTGAAATTTGTAATCTCGTAAAAGGTGTCATTTGTGGTTTTGTGGTGAGTTTCACCACTTGGCCTGGCACGGCGAAACAAAATTTCCTCACTATGGGTTCGAGACCGGGCTAAGCCAGTAAATACTACATCAATGTTGCCAGGTGGACACTAAGTAAGTATGAACAGTTTTTAATGCACATAGTGAAGTTGCAGTTTGAGAAGAAGGAAATGAAGATTAAACTGTGATTTTGTTAAATGAAATGCGAATTTTTAAAATTTCGAACAACAAAGTAAAACTTTTTATTCTTATATACAGCAATCAGAAGCTAGCATAAATTAAAAAGAAACAAAAAGCTTCCTGGTTGTTTGTTAAAATTTTTTACATGTTGACGATATTTACATGCAAAGGGCGCTTTTTAATAACCACACTAACGCTTTCTCACTATAATCACCTGGCAACACTGTACAGCATGCACCACAAAATACATTTTTTTTGACAACCTGACAACCAGATGGTGCTGCTTGCCATACATTTATGAAGGCTCGCATTTCGCCCAATCACGTATGTCAAACTTTGAGCTAATCGTATGTCAAAGTTTTGACACAGCAATAACTTCCTGAATGACTGAAAATTTCATTCTGGATTTGGCACGTGGTAAGTTTGGTAGTAATTAGTAAATTATTAGTGTTATTCAATTCATTCATTTCATTTTCAGATTCGCATTGTAAAAAAGGGCGAAAGGACTTGGCTGAATTAAGGCAAAGACACAGTAAATTGTGACATTTTGTATCCGCCAGCGAAAGCGCCGATATAGAATTTATGAGGAAATAAATGGTGAAAAATGTTCTTTTTGGCCTAACAACAAAATTTTCGTGGTCCCAGTACAAAATTGCAATTTAATAAAATCATCCGCCAACGAAAGCGCCAATATAGAATTTATAAGATTTTTATGATTTTATTAAATAGTGTGTAAAGATGTCGTTCTTCGGCGGAAGCACTTCACTGGGTGCAACAAGCACGCCCGCAAAGCCTGGTGGCATATTTTCGTCGTTCGGCACTGGCAGTGCGGCTGCTGCTCCAGCTTTTGGCACAGCAACATCAACCGCTGCACCGGCGTTTGGTACATCCGTTTTTGGCACTACAGGTTTTGGCAGCGCTCCACCTTCATCTGCACCCTCTCTCTTCGGTTTTCAATGTTTCGATTTATGGTGATGAACGTGACACCATTATTGCCAAATGGAATTACCTGCAAGCTCTGTGGAGTACCGGAAAATCATTTTACTCACAAAATGCAGTTCCGGTCGAAATAACGCCCCAAAATTATTTATGCCGTTTCAAGGCAATGGGCTATAGCCGCTTACCGGATAATCAAATGGGATTGGTCGCGCTGAATTTCAATAAACCGGTGGATGTAAAAGCTCAACAACATCAAATTATGACCTCACTTAACAGCGTCTTTGGCAATAAACCGAACTTGGCTATAAATATTGAGTCCAGCAAATAGCATGAACAGAATAAGTGTCAGTTAGTCATATACGTAGAGGAGCGCTCCCAAATGTCCCCTAACGAAACGAAACGTATACTCGCCACCGAAGTTTCCGGCTATCTCAATCAGGGGAACATGAAAGCACAATTAGCCACTCTTGGTATCGCTGAAGTGCTGGCATTGGTTTTGCCCGACTTAACTTAAAGAATATTTAGAGAATCCACCAAAGGGCATTGATCCGCCCATGTGGCGTCAAGCGAAATTGGATAATCCAGACAAAGCTAAGTTCATACCAGTACCAATGATCGGGTTCAATGACCTCAAATGGCGCACAAAGTGTCAAGAGCATGAAACAGAAACACCTGCGCTCTACCTAAAGAAAGTAGAAAAGGACTTGGATTGCTTCTCGGAAATATTTCTCGAGACCATACTTGGATTGACATTGCCGCATTGTAAACCTCTTCAACTGCACAGGTATTTGCGCAAAAGATTTGACTCTATATTTCATATTTTACTTATACTAGGTTCACATATAAGTAGATTATCCTCATTTTCGAGCTTAACACCCTAATCTGTAATTATAACAAGATATTAGCCATATAAAATTCGTCCCTTGTTAATCTGTAATTATAAAATAATCTCAGATTAAACCGATAACTTTTCGGTGTCCCTCCTAGTTTTATCGATTGTTTTTGCAAAAAAAAAGGATAAATGCCAAATGTTAAAGTAAACAATAAATGTACGCTAGCAAGGAAAAGAGGTTTCTGAAGGTATTTTTAATAAAATGTTAAGTTAAAATATATTTATATTGCTTATTATAGCATAAAAACGTGATCACGGTGGCACAGAGAAGAAACATAACTTTTCCTTGAGATGTGAGAGTAACAAGCACAACAAATTTGACGGCTAATAATCTGAGATTTGCCTGTGTAAACGGGGTAATTATAAAAACGAGCTTTGATTGAGATAATATTGATATGTGAACATAGTTTTACTGAACCCTTGGCGGTATTTATTTTTTAAACATTTTTTGGACATCCTCGTATAGCAACAAATCTTGCGAAAGCGGCTAGAAAGGACGCGGTGCTAAGGTCGCTGGTAGCTTCAAGGTGAATGGCTTTCGTCGAGAAGCAGACGAAAAGACACACGTAGCCTTTTGACATGCGACATCCTCTGCCCCGGTAGGACTTGATGTCGAACGGGCCGGCGAAATCCACCCCCGTGTTTGTGAATGCACGGGAAAAGGTTGTGCGTTCTTTGGGAAGGATTCCCATAAGTTGAGTTTGCGACCGTTTCTTGTAGATCGTGCAGACCTTGCAGTTATGTATGCCGGACCGTATCAAGTTTTTCACCCTGGGAATCCAATACTGCGATCGGATGAGTCGCAGCATCAGCTGGTTTTCTCCGTGCACGGAAATTTTATGGATAAACTGGACAAAGAGACGGGACAACCTGCAACCATAAGGAAGAATGATAGGATGTCGTTCATTGTAGGACAGATCGCAAGATGCGCTCAGACGACCACCAGCCCTCAGAATCACATCTTTGTCGATGAACGGGTTAAGAGGCAGGATTTCACTTTTTCCGTCGATGGATTTTCCAGATTTTAACCTTATATATTCTTCGCTGTAATATTGTTTTTGACAAATTGTTATTAAGCGTTGGGTCGTTGTTTTAATTTCGTTGGCCGAAATTGAACGAGACTCCGCTTTAAAGGAAGATTTCGTTTCGGGATTGATTCTTTGATAGAATCTCATAATATAAGATATAACTCTCAAAGCCCGTGACAAATCAGAAAATCGATCGAGAATGTCGTGAAAGTCTTTTACTTTTGTTGTTGCATGAACATGCACCCTTTATTCAATGGTTGTGTCAAAGTCCGATTCTTGTGCTGGCCATCTCGAATAGTCTTCTTGTAACCAAGAAGGACCCTGCCACCACAAGCAGTTGTTGACTAGATCACTCGCCGAGAGTCCTCTGCTGGCTAGATCCGCTGGGTTTGAGGCCGAATCCACGTGGCGCCAATTTTTGTTTCCTACCTTGTCTACTAGCTTTGTTATCCTGAGGGCAACAAATGTTGACCACGAACACGGGGGTTTTCGAATCCAAGCTAAAACTATCGTTGAATCCGTCCACAAATTCACCTTCAAATGAGCAAGGCTAAGGTTTTCAACGACAGTTTCAATTGTTTCGGCCAGTAACACTGCACCACACAACTCCAATCGGGGCAAAGATATTGTTTTGACTGGCGCTACCCTTGTTTTTGCCATAAGTAGGTTGAACCCTTAGAAAAACTGGCGCCGCGTATACCTTTTCCGAAGCATCGCTAAAACCATGCATTTCCACATTATCGGTTTGCGTGAAATATACCCATCTTGGTATGCGGATGTTGTTTAATTCCGCGTAATCCTGCGTAAATGCTTGCCAACGATCCCAGGTATTTGGAGATACGGTTTCGTCCCAACCTGTTCCTTCTAACCAAATATTCTGCATAATGATCTTGGCGACGATTATAACCGGTGCAAGCCAACCCAGTGGATCGAACAGTTTGGCGATGGCTGAAAGTATTGCCCTCTTTGTAATAATGCTACTATTTTCAATTGGTTTCGCTATAAAGTAGAAGTAATCGGAATGGGCGTTCCATCTGATGCCCAAAGCCTTTACTGCACTGGTATCTTCAAACTCTAAGAAATCTTCACTAAGTAAATGACCTTTTGGTATTCCTTGAAGTATTTTGCTAGAGTTTGAAGTCCATTTTCGTAATGGAAACCCGGCTGAATTTAGCACCTGTGATATCTCTTCTCGAGCTCTTATCGCAGCTTCGACGCTATGTCCCCCGGCGAGTACGTCGTCAACATACATACATTTTCGCAAAATGTCAGATGCGATTGGATGATAGCTCTCCACATCATCAGCAAGCTGGTGTAATGTCCTTATCGCAAGGTAAGGAGCACAGTTTATGCCAAAAGTCATGGTTTTTAATTCGTACAAACTGATCAGATCTTTTGAGCAACTACGAAAAACTATTCGCTGATATTTTGTTTGATTTTGATTTACCCAAATTTGTCGATACGTCTTTTCTATATCGCTGTTGAATACGTATTTGTACAGTCTCCAACGTAGTATAAGAATGGGTAAATCGGCCTGAAGTACTGGGCCTGGAAGAAGGACATCATTCAAACTCATGCCATTAGCGGTTGGGCATGATGCGTTGAATACAACTCTGACCTTTGTAGTGGTGCTTTCTTCCTTTAAAACGGCGTGGTGAGGTAGAAAATAGCAGTCCGTTGAATCTGGTGAAATCTTTTTATTAATTTTTGAAATATGTGCTAGTGTCTCGTATTCAGATACAACCCGGTTGTACTGTTTGAAGGACAGGCTTTTTCGCGCCTCGTTCCGGTAGAACTGAGAGCATACACTTTTCAGCGAAGGTCCTAAGCACACATTTTTCGAAAATCCCGTTTAAAAGGTAGAGACACAATGTATTTTCCATCTGTATTTCGTGTCGTAGTTGCTTTGAAGAGCTCTTCGCAGTATTTATCATCTTCGTTGATGCCTTTTTTCTTTGGGACATCCTCCAGCTCCCAAAATGCAGCTAGCTGCTTGTCCAACGTGCCTTCGTTAAAATACGATACGATATTGTTCCTTGGACTGACTGAATCCGCGCGACCAGTCAGTATCCAACCGAACACGGTCTCTTGCGCGAGAAGCGTATTTAATACGTTCTTCCTCATTCCGCTTAAAATTATTTGGGGGTAAATATCTCCTCCTAAGACCAGGTCAACTGGCTCATTGACGAAGAATCTTTTGTCCGCCAAGACCAAGTCTGGGAACGATTGCCGCGTCATTGCGCTTATCTGATAAGTCGGAAGATCCCCGGTTAATTGTGGTAAAACCAGCACGATTGCTTCTATATTAATTAACGGGTCTGTGGGTGACCGAATAGCACACGCTTCTTTTACCTGCGCAGATACAGAGTTATTGATGCTCGAAACTTGGGCATGCAAGCGTTTTGATGGCAGGTTGATTCTCCGTTTGAGTCTCTCAGTAATGAACGAGCACTCAGAACCAGAATCTATAAGCGCTCTAGCCGAAAAATGTATACCATTATAGTGTATGTTTACGCGTGCTGTTCCTAACAAAACTCCTTTACTTGTATTTGCGTAACAAGAATTTNCACCATTATAGTGTATGTTAACCCGTGCTGTTCCCAATAAAACTCCTTTACTTGTATTTGCGTAACAAGAATTTACATTTGTAACCGATTTGATGTTTCCTTTTTCAGATTCGCGTCTTGATTGAGCCTGGTTTGAAGTAGATTCCACGTTACCCGATGGATCAGTTGTTGCTTTTGGCTGAATCGGCATATGGAGCAACTTGTGATGTCTTGAATGACAAGTGCTGCAGTTAAATGAGCTGGTACATCTTGAGACTGTGTGCCCAGCAGATAGACAATTCAAGCAACTGCGAATGCTATTCACGCAATCTACTCGCTCCGTCGGCTTAAGACGCAAAAATCTGTCGCACTTTGATAGCTTGTGTGCATTGCTGTTGCACATTTTACATGTTGCCTTTGCTACACTGCCTTGAAAGGCGCCAAGCT